TGTCTGAGGAATGGGAGGGGGAGTTGAAATGGTTCGCGACTGGGAGGTGCAGTTGTTTGTTGCGAACCGAGCGTAGGTGTTCTGCAAAGCGGTCCCCGAGTCTCCGCTTGGTTTCCCCGATGTAGAGGAAGCCACACCGGGTACAGCGGATGCAGTATACCACATTGGCAGATGTGCAGGTGAACATCTGCTTGATGTGGAAACTCTTCTTGGGGCCTGGGATGGGGGTGAGGGAGGAGGTATGGGGGCAGGTGTAGCACTTCCTGCAGTTGCAGGGAAAAGTGCCGGGTGTGGTGGAGCTGGAGGGGAGTGTGGAGCGGACAAGGGAGTCACGGAGAGAGTTGTCCCTCCGGAAAGCAGATAAGGGTGGGAAGGGAAAGATGTCTTTGGTGGTGGGGTCGGATTGCAGATGGCGGAAGTGTCGGAGGATGATGCGTTGGATCCGGAGGTTGGTGGGGTGGTACGTGAGGACGAGGGGGATTCTTTTTTGGTTTTTATTGCGTGGACGGGGTGTGAGGGATGAGGTGCGGGAGATGTGGGAGACACGGTTGAGGGCGTTCTCGACCACCGAGGAGGGGAAGTTACGGTCCTTGAAAAACGAGGACAGCTGAGATGTACGGGAGTGGAATGCCTCATCCTGGGAGCAGATGCGGCGGAGGCGAAGGAATTGGGAATAGGGTGTTGTCTGGTTCTTGATCCATTTTTTACAAGTGGGAACAGTTTCTCCCCATCTGTTCCGTCCAGATCCCTCATGATTTTGAAAACTCTCAAATCTCCTCTTAGCTTTTCCTCTCCAAGTTACGGTCCCAACTTGCCTGATATTTTTTTCTCATAGCTGAAGTATCTCATCCCTGGAACCATTCTCAAACTGTTTCTGCAACCTTTCCAATGCCTTCATGTCCTTACTTGTGTAACACCCAGACTGTACACAACACTTGAGCTGAGGTCTAACCACTGTCTTTTAAAAGAACTTTGCTCTGATCATGAGACGACCCACTTACCATAAAGTTTTAATAACAATCCCTTATTGCTATCCAATCTTGATTTTCTTTTGCAGTTTTTCCAACTAATTCTTCTCCCAACACGTTTTTGTTCACAATGTCAATATGTTTCTTTCCGGATTTCCTTACCTCCCATTCCATTGTTCAGGTAGTTAATCCTCACTCTCTCTCCTCCTCTCTCCCCCTCCACTTCTCCCTCTGCAGGTTTCCTTGGATAGTCAGTTATTTTTCTGCCAGGAAACTAATCTAGCCCAATCTTTCAGTTTGCCTCAAGAATAGCTTTATTCTGTAGTACCTGATCTTTCTCGCAGGAAATTAAAATTCATTGTGAAAGTGTCTCATTGCATCCTTGTCAGATTTTGCCTAAAGCATCAAAAAAAATTTAGGGTTTGAAGCAGTACAAACAGGCTGCTGCCACTGCTCTAGATAAAAAGTTACTACTGTTGGGTGAAGAGGCTAATTCATAACTAGAGATTTAGAGGTGGTGGTACAGCAAAACATTACAAATTTGCATCATGCATCTCTACCAAACATTGAGGATATACTTAATTTATTGAATGCATTATGACATGCCGCTGCTCTCCTGGGGCCCAGAACTGAATACCATGCTCTAGCTGAGGCCTAACCAGTGATCTTTACCAGGTTTAGCATAACTTGCATGCTTCTGTATTCAGTGCCTCTATTTGTAAAACAGAGGAACCTACATGCTTTTGCATTTAAAAAAAAAATCATGTGCTCGAGGAACTTCATTAGCATTAAGTTCAAGGCTCCCAGATTTCATTTATTTGTCAAAAATGCCAAGTGAATTCTCAAGTAGTTTGATGGAAGTTACAGAGCACTTCGGTACATGTACTGCAATAGGTTGGTTATCCCAACGGGTGACACTAAAGAACTCCGGATGCTTGCGACTTCCCATGCTGTGTGGGCTCAAACCAGGGAGAATGCCATTCATTGGAAGATCATGCAGTTCCATGTAACCAGTTGAGGCAGAATAGGAATATGTCAAAAAAAACAACTAAAAAATTGAAAAACAGTCACCAAAGCCTGCAAAGTTAATTGAACGTTACAGAAAATGTTCCCATTGTTTCAAAGTGAACAAACAGCTCACCACTAAAATTCAGGGGTGGAAAATTGCATATGTGCAAGATTTCATATCAAATTCTTTGGGACCTTTTTGTCCACAAATGCACAATTTTGTTGGTGAAACCCCAGGACTGTCTAAGGGAACTGTCCATGGATCTGCTTTATGTCACCACAAGCTTCAATGCTCTCACTGAGGCTCAGTGAGGAAAGAAAACATGACATACTAATACAAAGGAGGGCCCTTGAACAATACAAACAGCCATGAGCCTGAATGTTATCACAGTCAGGTCCTAGCAAAACACATTTTCCACCCTTGAATGTTATTTATACAAGAATTACAGAATAAGTGGCCTCCTACTGTTTTGTTAAGATAAGCAAAAGCATTAGTAAGTTTTTTGTGCCTTTTGACAGACTTAGGCTGCAAAGAGTTTTTAGAAATTAGATTACTTTTTGGGATTTTGGGGTTATTTACCTGAGCGACCCCTGTGACAGTTAGTGCTACCCCCTCTGCGGTCTCTACATCCTCACACTTGGGCTGAAGCGTCATAATCTCAAGGGACATCCTGTGAAAAACGCAAAACACTCGCAAATTCCAGGTCACATGACAGGCCTCAAGCCTCACTTGCTTTTTTCTCTCCAATCCTTCCACGGCTCACCTTTGACCCCAACCAGAGGTACTGTACAGTGCTCAAAAAAAAACCAAGCTAAATAATTAATATCAAAGAAAAATCATTGCATGGCTCAAGAGAGGCTTCCCATAGGAGATTGTCACAGTGTGGGTGATCCCACTTAGTTAGAATACCTCCTGGAGAAATTGTTTCACCATTTTATGCAATAAGATAACATGTAGAAGAAACAAGCTGTTTTAAGAACACACACACACAAATGTACTTTATAATTCAGGCCACTCAATAATTCATTGCACCAAGTCAATTCCCACGTTGTGGTGAGGAAGAGAGTGCTACTTCTCTTCAGAAAGGAGTTCAGTTTCCATCACTACAATCAATGCATTTCATAATTAGAAGATTTTACGAACTCTGTTGAAATCTGGGAGTACCCATTGCAATTGCAAATTCTCAATCAGTGCCCAGTAAAATTGCTCACTCTGAAGGGCATTACATATCCCTGAGCTTGTGATGTGGGGATGGCAGGGGTAAACAAATTTGATCAATGTACACCAATTTTGTTCTTTCTTTGACTTGATTTTAAATCAGTCTGTCCATTCTGACCTTTTTCTTCCCTCTTCATTTGGTTTAATTCATTTCCTTTCTGTGCAATACCTACAGTGCTACAGGCCATGCCACTTGGCCGTGATGCTAGGGAAATAAAGCGGTGAAGGTGCTGCAATTGAGGTCAGCATTCAGTTGCTGCTGGAAACAGAAAAGGAGGGAATGGGTTGAGAATAGTAGGGGTAGTGAAGAGGAAGAGGGTAGAAAAAAAAAGGACAATAATACAACAAGGTTAAGATCAAGTTACCTGTGCGACCCCTGTAACATATACAGGGACCCCCTCAATGGTTTCTATATCCTCACACTGACAGACGACGGTCATGATCTCCAGAGGTAGTCTACGCAGCAGGAGGTGTGGGGAGCGGGTGGGGGAAGGAGGTGGGACAGCACATATTCAGTCACAGTAATTGTCAGAACAAAGTATGAGAAATCCAACTCCCAGAGACATTAAGTAAATTATTTCAGGTTTTTCTATGGGTGGTTGAAATGATTTAACCCTTTGAGAACTGCAATAGCACTTTGACAGCCAAACATTTCACTCATTTCTCCCCCCAACGCAGAAAGGGTCATTTGTTTTCTATTTCCTGAATCTGCTGTTCAGTCTGTTGGAGAGGACACACAAAAGTAGTTTCTTTAACATTAGAGAATCAACTGTCGAGGTTTGGGGTACACCTCTACATTTCTATTTCCTAAAACCAATATGAGTTCTAAAAAAATTCCTTTCAAAATCACTATGGAGAGGGTAAGAAATCTTTGACAGCTGCAATGTGCTTCCAGTTCGCAAAAGGTTACTTACTTTGAAGTGAAAAGCAAGCCGAAAGTTTTTGGGTGGCATTTTCTTTAAAAAATAACACCAACTAATATCAAAGAGTTGGAGGGAGATCTGCTTTCTTGGAAACTCCCCATTTGAAGACAAGAAACCGTATGCCTGTGCTTCTAGCTATTGCCCTATTTCAAACACAGGGATACTGGAAGCAGCTGACCGAGTTCTGATGCCCTTTAAAAAAGTATGCAAGTAAAATATGAGCAAGTCAGCTTTTAAGATGACAGTCCATTACTAGCAAGAAATAAGAACAACAGTGAGTATATAAACACACAATAATACATCATTAAACAAACATTAGTGGTGTGAAGTCATGAGTAGTTCGACAAAACGCTAGAACACACAACACACATCTCTCACCAGCTCCCTGCAAGATATAGGCTTTTACAAAAATGTATTCGCTGACAAAGCAGACACTTACTGTTCATGCATAATTGCCCTAGAGAATGGTGAGCCACTGTGATTTGTGTATTGAAAAGTGCTGCCAAAGCAATGTTCAGGAGCTTCTGTGGAGATCAAAAGTACAGTGTATATATTTCCAATTCTGCATTGTATATGGCTTGGAGGGGAGTTCAGAGATAGTGGCATTTCCATACACCTGCTGACCATCTCTGTGGAAGTTGACAACTTGGGAGGTATTGCTAGAGACACTGACTGCAGTGCCATATGCAGATGGTACACACCACAGCCACACCATTCAAAGAGAGAACCATGGGCTTGAGTCATGACTGTCAGTTAGAGAGCTCAAACAGTGAGAGCTGGTATCAAGGTTGAGCCCAATCCCAAACTCCTGTGGATTCTTCCAGTAAACCTTTCCGAGTCTCAAATCAGGGGAAACATCCTGAGTGATAAACAAATCAATCAATCATTCTCCAGAAGAATAAGGAGCAAAGCCTGGAGTTAGGCTGGAGCAGGCAGAAGTTAGGAAGTGCAGTACCTCTTCATACAAAAGGGTACTGTAAATCTGGAACACTCAGCTTAAAACATGCTGAGGAGACTGGAGGTCAGGTGACACTGTTTCGAAATGGAGATAGATAGATATTTGACGGGCAAGGGCAAAGGATATGGAACCAAGGTGGATAAGTTACAGATCATTCATGATCTAACCAAAAGGACACAAAAATTGGGTGGCTGAATGGTCTATTCTCATTCCCAATTAATATTTGCTGATTTCAGCCACTTAAACCAGGAAAAAATGTGGTCCCTTCTAGTAGTCATCCTCTGGAGTCATGCCATTCGAGTAGCTGGTGACAGCCACAAGGTGGAAACTAACGTCAGCAGCATGGAGCACTGCTCCAATATTTCCTTCCTCCCCTCCTACATTGGGATGGGTGGCAGAGGAATTACTTCTCCCGGTCAATGGCAGGAACTAACCACATGTAAAGATCACAGGCAAGGTCTGTTTCCTGACACAGGATTGCACAGGTCATGCAAGAGTTCTGTATTTTGATGATTGAAATAATGAATTTCTGATGCAAAAGGTTGCAGCAAGAGTTACAGTTACATTGCAGGAACTGACAGTTCAGTTTTCCATCCTCTTGTGTAAGCTCCCAGTTTGGAAGGTGTTACCTGACACAAGAACCCTAAAAAGCTACTCACAATGTGGTAATTGCAAACAAAATCACGCCTTACAACTCAAATGAAAAAAAATGTGGAGCTGGAAACTTGATACCTTGCTAAATATTTTTAGTTCCCTCCAACTACTACAGGTTAAATGCCTAGCATTTCAACCTATGCCTTCACGCCCAGGATCACATTACATTAAACACCTCCTCCGCTTTCTAGGCCAGTGAATTGAATAAAAAACACAATGTAGACCAGAGACAACAAGGTGCAGGGCTGGATGAACACAGCAGGCCAAGCAGCATCATAGGAGCAGAGAGGCTGACGTTCCGGGCCTAGACCCTTCATCAGAAAAGGGGGAGGGGAAGGGGGTTCTGAAATAAATAGGGAAAGAGTGGGAGGCGGATAGAAGATGGATAGAGGAGAGGATAGGTGGAGAGGAAACAAACAGGTCGAAGAGGCGGGGATGGGGCCAGTAAAAGGTGAGTGTAGGTGGGGAGTTAGGGAGGGGATAGGTCAGTCCAGGGAGGACGGACAGGTCAAGGGGGCGGGATGAGGTTGGTCGGTAGGAGATGGAGGTGCGGCTTGAGGTGGGAGGAGGGGATAGGTGGGAGGCAGGGACGAGCTGGACTGGTTTTGGGATGCGGTGGGGGGAGGGGAGATTTTGAAACTTGTGAAATCCACATTGATACCATTGGGCTGCAGGGTTCCCAAGCGGAATATGAGTTGCTGTTCCTGCAACCTTCGGGTGGCATCATTGTGGCACTGCAGGAGGCCCAGGATGGACATGTCGTCTGAGGAATGGGAGGGGGCGTTGAAATGGTTCGCGACTGGGAGGTGCAGTTGTTTATTGCGAACCGAGCGTAGGTGTCCTCCGACACTTCCGCCATCTGCAATCCGACCCTACCACCAAAGACATCTTTCCCTCCCCACCCTTATCTGCTTTCCGGAGGGACCACTCTCTCCGTGACTCCCTTGTCCGCTCCACACACCCCTCCAGCTCCACCACACCCAGCACTTTTCCCTGCAACCGCAGGAAGTGCTCCACCTGCCCCCAAGAAGACTTTCCACATCAAGCAGATGCTCACCTGCACATCTGCCAATGTGGTATACTGCATCCGCTGTACCCGGTGTGGCTTCCTCTACATCGGGGAAACCAAGCGGAGACTCGGGGACC